CAAAAATAAAATAAGCTCAAGTCGAAAAGTTGTGGATAAAAAAGTGAAGCAGATTTTGCCGTATTTTTTTGGAAGCAAAGTTGTTGTTTTCTTTTTATTTTTTAGTTTTGTTTGTTTTTTGTAGTTTTATTTCTATTCAGTTGCCCTTTCGCTTGGTATTGTTTATGTTTTGCATTACAAATGACTTTTTATATTTCTGTTTTTTGTTTCTTTCCTATTTTGTTGGGCGTGTTACGTGCGAGCATTTCACATTTCAACATTTTCATTGCGCCTGAGCTCAATGAAATTTATGTGCATATATTTGTATATTCCTGCGGCGTTCATTCATGCGTTTCGGGTCGCGATCCAGTTTTACACCCAGCCCAGCACAGCCCAGCCCAGCATCCTACCAAAACCTGACTCACCAGCCCAGTCATCGCCACGTTGCAAGCAGCGCATTTGATTTCGTGATTCATGCATAATTACGAGCATAGTGAGTGTATCTCTATATGTATTCATAGAACGTATTTCGTATTCGAGTCTCTGACACGCACATAAATCAAATGCAATATATCTCAGACAAACACAACAAACACAAGCACAGGGGTAACAAATGTCAAAACAAATCCACCAAGGAGCTTGTCATGTGCTCTATCCCAAAGTGAATGCTCGTCTCCTTGTACAGGGGATTATATGGCAAGAGCCCGTCAAGAGTGATGAAATATTTTGAGGACATTCATTTACTTTCATATTTCATTCTTATAGAGAATATTCAAAATGTATAAAATAATAAGATATCTTCTCTTAGTCAAACAACAAACGTTTGCATAGCGAATTTTATAGCAATCCAATAAAAATCATTCATGCTCTGCACAAAGTTGTAGTTAGCATACTTTTGAGAGCACAAATAGAAACTTTTTTACTTGAGAACATTTTCTAAAGTTGTTAAAAATATGAAATTATTGCTTTTTTATTGCACTTTGCAGACTGCATCATTCATTTAACATTCACAATGCAGCACTCAATTCTCATTCTTCAGTGTTCACTGTGCTGAATATGTTTCATAATCTCTTCATGTTTAATCTCTCAAAGATTGCATAACATTTTAGTGGCTATTTATTCAGCTTGACAGCAGCAGCCGCTTAGAGCAATTTTTAGTATGTTCTTTAATTCCATTAGCAAACTTTCTGCTCACTTTACACGACATCTTTTTGGATGTGGCGTAGCCCAAAACTTTAGGCATTAAAAGCGACCATTTATCGCAATCCCAACTCCCCGCTTCTGTTAATGCTTATAAAGTGTAAAGCGGTCAAAATTCAATTAAATTTAAATGTGTGTCAGAGCTATTGTTGCGTAAACTTTGTGTCCAAAAAGTTTTGCGGGGACAGCGTTTTGGTCAATTGAAAGCAATTACAAATACTCAGTCAAATATGCGAATAATGCCAAAATTGTGACAATTTTTTTAGGGGGCAACAAGAGCTAAACTTATCGGCAAGCAAGGAGTTATTTCAAGGATTAAGATGCGAAATAAGTTTTGGCTTAAGCAACGAATTTAAGCCTGTAGCTCTGGTGCTTAACTTGAAAGTCACGTGAACAAAATTGTGCAGAGGTTTTCTCGGCAAGCAAAACATTTTCTTTTTGTTATTATTATTGCAACTGTTATTGTTGTTGTTGTTCTTGTTGTTGCCAAAACTTCTACGTCTTCGTAAGCATTTAGTTGTTCTTTGCATTTTGTTAGTGTTTAGTGTTATTATTATTATTGCGAGAATTTTGGCCGTAGTGCAACTTTCTGCTGCATACTTTTTCGGGCAGTGGTTGATTGCATGTTGAACCAAACACACACACAGAAACACACGTACAAAATGGCTGCCCGTGCACATAATACAAAATGGCTGCCGGCAGCAACTAACAAAAGCAATTGCAACACATAAAGTGGGCCGTTGCTGCGGGCGGAGGGGCGTGTCGTAACAAGCAATCATTGCGTGGATTCTACAAGCGAATATACGTTATATGAAGTACGAGTAATTAATAGCTCCAGAGCACACACAAAAGCGCCTAAGCACACACACACACACAGATACAAAAGCGTATTGTTATAGCTATTGTTGTTGGTTTGGTCCAGTAATTAAAAGATTAATTTTTAATGTGCGCTTAGTGCGAGCAGCACTAAAGAGAACGCGATTCCAGCATTCAAATACAACAAGTCGGCTGTAGTCGATAAAGCAAGACTAGCGGATACCCTGTAGTGAAGTCTATGCCCATCTTAAGTAATCAGCAAATATTCTATTTCCTGATGAATACAATGTTAAGCCACATACCATCATATATATCCATCAATGAAGTATTATGAGATTGGTTTATTTATCCAGATGGATATATATAAATCGACTCTGCTGTTGATGCTGCTCAAGAATATACATATTTTATGGTTTCGGAGTTGCTTTCCTCTGCCTGTTACATACTTCAATATAGGGTATATTATCCATTTACATTGGATTAAGGGTATGCAAAAGGATTTGGCTAATGGCCATTTCGACTTCTATATGCAGACACACACCACACACACACACACACGCACACTCATACGCACACACACTTATCCAAGCACACATTGTTATTTATGCTCCATAAACAGATTTTTCATCAGCGAACCCCGAAAAACTGCAACTTTATGAGCCAATTGTGTGTTTTTTGCTCTTTTCTTCCTAGTGGCATCTCTTTCTAACCCTCTCTATCTGTCTCTTTCACTCTCCCTTACTCTGGCACAGCGCATGTATTGTTGTCTGGTTTCTGTTAAATTTTTCATTATTACGCGCTCGAGTTTTTCGCCGTTTTTTTATATATATATATTTTGCTCTTCTCTTTTTTTTTGTTTTTGTTTTTCGGTGCAAATTAAATGTACATAGTTTTAAATTTTTAATACAGTTTGGCGTAAGCCCATTTCGTATGTTTTTGCATTTTTGTTTTTCGTGCACTTGATTAAAATAACAGTAACAGCAAAAGATAGTCAATTAAATATTAAACAATCACATAAATAAACTCGACAAGTATATAGACAAAAAAATGCAAATATTATTTGTACAAATGAAAAGCGCGCTGAAGCGCAGCTCTTTCAGAAAGTGATTATTATAAATAATTGGTTAGATTTCTCAATTGATTTGTGATTATCGTTTGAGCCAATTAAATGCGAGAGCGAAAAACGGAATCAGCAAATATTTATTGAATTAAAAAGCATTACAAATGAAATGAAAAGGCATATTTGAGCTGTAAAAGGATTCCATTTTAATATTTACGCTTACATAACCAAATTAAGCTTAACTAAAATAGTTATGCAATTAATTAAGCATCAAATTTGTTACATTTCTAATTTGAGCATAACTTAAATTTCTATATTCGCTTTCATATCAAATTTTGTGATGTGCTGCAATGCGTGATTTTAGCTCAACAAAGTTTTGCAATTTGAAATTTAGCTGAAGTACCACCGCACCACACAAGCCACCCAACCCAACCAGCATAAACCACTACACCACATAACTTTTTGAAAAAACATTAATCGTCATTCTGTAGTCGTTTCTTGGGCGCTTATCGCCTGCCTCGCCTGCTGACTGGCAACACTTCTCCTCTTCTCCGACTTCCTTTCTTATCCTTATCGGTGTCAACAGGAGCAGCAGCCTTTCTCTCTGCACGTGCACTATCATTAATACTTTCAAGATGGCTAAAAGTAGCCAAAACGCTTAAGTATTGTTTGTGTTTACCCAAAAGAAAAAATAGAAAATAACACAGCCCGAGACAAAAGCGCGCATAATTAGCAGCAATACAAAAACAAATAAACAGCAACAAAATCAACAGCAAGTTGGACAGCCAATTAGTAAGGCAAAAGGAGGGCTTACCAAAAAGTGACTGCAGAGCGAGAGAGAGAGACAGAGGCAGAAGAAAGAGAGAGGGAATATGGCTACACAAACGTCGCTCAACCAAATAAACTTGACAAATTATACGCTCCGTTTATTGTTGCGCCAGCCCAAAAAAATATACCCTATCAAAATGAGGCAAATGTTAAATTGTAATTTGATACACACAACAGCAACAGCAACAACAACAACAACCAACGATGACAGTTAACCAAAAGCCCAACAGGCAACTGCAATTGTTGCATCTTTGTTGGTCTGCTGCCTAGCTAACGTGTCGGGGCAGGGAAAAACAATTAAACAAAAAAAAAAAACTGGGTAACAATCAAAAGTGTCGATCCAAATGAAGCGCTTGCATGATATTGTTTTTTGTTATTGTTTTTGTTTTTGTTATTTTGCTATTGCCATTGTCATTGTCAGTAAATTAACCAAGCGTATGAGAAACGAGCTCAACTATAAAAATTCAGTTGTCATTTATATGAATATGATTCATGTATATATATATAAATATATTGTGCCTGAACTAATAACCACAAAATGTCTAAAAGCTGATTAAGCTGCGGTTAATGAGCCAAGCCAGCCCACTAGACGTACTAGACAGCCCCTCAACGTAAGCTAAACGCCGAAATCGCTGCCTCCTCCAGTTACAATGCTCATGGGGCATATCAGTTGTCGCAAGGTGTTGCACAAGTCGCTTTGTGGCTGCTGTTTGTGTGTGGAGAAACGCGACAAGTTCAACCGCAACACGCTAAAAAGGGGGGAAGGGGCAGCGGGTAAGGACAAGTTCAGTCTCTGATCAAAGTTAATGGCAGTGAAATGTGGTTGTTGTTGAACAGACACTGACAAAAACAACAAACAGATGGGGTCTGACGTCAGAATGGCAGGTATTAAATTTATTAAATGGATAAGGAAGCTAACCGAAAATAACAAATTATGTATTAATAAGCAATTTCTTATAACTCTGTCAAAAAAACAACAACAAAAGAGAAAGAGAGTTGCCTAAATCATTTGCGTTTATTGTCATTAATAAAACTGTCAAAATTTATCGTTGTTCGCAACCCGTTTTTAATTTCTAATAACTCCCAGGCTAACGGTAATGATAAACACCCTCCCCAATCGCAACTAATTAGAGCCCGTAGAAATAAATGCATAAAAACAATCTTTTAGATGACAACCAACTCGAAATGCAACCAAAACTGGGCATCAAATCAATATCTTAAAAAGCTTTTGCCCAAGGTCAAAAGGAAGAAGGAACAACATCAACAACAACAACAAGTGAACAACAAGAGCAACAAGACTCAAACGAGAACAATAACTGGCAGATATCTGTCCCCAGCTGCCCATTGGCTGCCCAACGAGAACAGCGATGGGATTGCGGACAATGGCAAGGGTAGTCCATATGTGCTGCTATCGGTGAGCGATTCGGCCAATGGTGGCAACGCCGCCGCCACCGCCATCTGCAGCTGTAAGAAACGTCGTTCACCCACCTGCCACAATGTGTTGCATGAGCCGCGATTACGTTTAGATCCACCCAGCATAGTGATGGATCCGCTGGTGCGTGGCATACGCATTAGCATTTGTGTGGAGCATACACGCTTTCCGCTGATCGGCAAGGTGGCCAAGGGCATTGGTCTAACCCATGTGCCCGAGCATCGGCTGTGGAACGTTCAGTGGTGCGACAATACACCACATTTTGATCTGCTCAAGAGCATGAAGCGTTTCCAGCAAATCAATCATTTCCCCGGCATGAGCGAAATCTGTCGCAAGGATCTGCTGTCGCGCAATCTGAATCGCATGCTCAAAATGTATCCCGGTGATTATTGCATCTTTCCCAAGACCTGGCTGCTGCCCACCGAGTGAGTTACGTTTCAGATTTGAGAGATCTCTTTTCTGCTTTTGATACTTATCTATGATCCATGGTGTTAGTGCCTACGATGTGGCTGTTTATGCCAGCAGACACAAGCGCACCTTTATTCTCAAGCCGTATTCATCGGGCCAGGGACGTGGCATTTGGCTGACCAACAATCTGCAGACTGTGGGCAGACAGGAGAAGCTCATTTGTCAGACTTACATCGAAAGGGTGAGTGATAAGCATATCTAGCATTGTTTCCCTCCTCTCACATTATCCATCCAGCCACTGCTCATCGATGGCTTCAAGTTTGATTTGCGTGTTTATACGTTGGTTACCTCGGTGGATCCGTTGCGTATCTTTGTCTACAATGAGGGATTGGCCCGGTTTGCAACCAACAAATACAAGCCGCCGGCATTGGGCAACAGTGATAATATGTTTATGCATTTGACAAACTATTGCGTGAATCGACGCAATTGCAATTATAATGCTGGCTGTGGCATTGCCGGTGGCTTCAAGCGTAAATTGAGTGCCTACAATCGGTGGCTGGTCGAGCACAATTACAATGTGGTCGAGTTTTGGGCATCTGTCGATGATGCCATTATCAAAACGCTGATTAGTGCATGGCCCGTGCTGAGGCACAATTATCAGTTGTGCTTCCCCAAGCACAATAAGATTCAGGCATGCTTTCAACTGTTGGGCTTTGATATCCTGGTCGATTGGAAACTCAAGCCGTATATCCTGGAGGTGAATCATACGCCGAGTCTGATGGGTGGCGAACGGGTGGATTTGGAGGTGAAGCGACCACTGATAAAGGACACCTTGAATTTGATAAGCACTCCGCTGGTGGATAAGGAGGAGATCATAAGGGAGGATCGTGCATTGCTCAGGGATCGTTTAATGCAGCAGGCGAATCGCAGACGTGTCGAAATCCCCCCCAAAATAGCCCCATCGGAGCAACAGCGAGCCGCTGGTGGTGCTGATGTTAGCCAGGCATGCTCCCTCAGTGCTTTGGCACAGCAGATTGCCTGGGAGGAGAGTCATATGGGCAACTATCGACGCATTATGCCGCCGACAGATGCCGCTCGTCACAAGTACTATTTCAAGTTCTACAATCAGTTCAAGCAGGTGTCCCCGTTCAAGGAAACGAATCATAGTCACTCGCGGATCAAGGATCGCGAACAGTTGAGGCAACAAACATTGCAGGAGCAGCTCCAAGACAAACACGAGCAATTGCAGCGGCGCAAAGAAAAGCAGCTGATTGCGCGGCACAAACTACAGCAGCAGAGATCGAAAGAGCGGGCGGTGGGCATTTGGCAAATGCTCAACAAACGCAAATTCGAACTAACAAGCATAAGACAGGACAGGATAGGAGCAGTGGCAAAGGGGGCAACTGAGACGCCAACGCCAGCCAAATCCACAACAAATGAGGCTGCCAACAACGACAACAGCAACAACAACAAGTTGCAGCGTTTTAAGCGCAAACGCAGTCTGGTTTGTGTCAGTGCACGACGACAGCGTCAGCTGCAATGCCAGCAGCGACGTACTCGCCTCCTGGAATGGGAATCTCGCCAGGATGCCGAGTTTCTCGTCAAGCACAGCATTGCGGCGAGCAGCTCAAATGTTTTGTTGGCCAACGAAAAGAGCAACAACCAGCAGCAACCAAACAACAACCACAACAACAACGATGAGGCCAATAAAGAAAAGTTGGTTGCCAAAAAAAAGTTGAACAAGCATTGGTTGCCCGACTCCATCGATGAGTCGGATAAACAACTGGAAGCCGAATGGCGGTCAGAAAGAACAACAGCTGTTAATGGTAGGCAACTCCAGGAGCTGGTGAGTTGAACAATCGAATCATGTTGCAATCCAAATTGTTTACAAAAATCAAATATATTTAAATTCTTAATGTTTTATGCATTGCAACTGGGCATTCTTACTTCAGCACACTACTTGTGCGATTTTCTTTTCTTATCTCTTTTTTTTGGTAGTTTCCAAGTCTGAGTAACTTTATCAATCTCCATTCTAGTTTTTCCATGAAATGTATGAGCGCGGCAATCTAACCAAAAATGATATCAATCTCTTCCCAACTCTTCTGTATCGCATACTAACGGCCAAAATGAATGAAGTCAATGCCAGTTAATAGTAAGACTTTAAATTCTTGAAGAAATCGTAGCTCAATTATATTTTCAGCACAACATATATTAATTTATCGAAAGTGTGAAGGAAAACTATGCAAAGAAAACGATTTTTTAAGTACAAAATCTATTGTGCATATTCATAATTATTAATAATAATAAAAAAGAGTGCATGTCTATAATTCCATGCTGACAACTGTTCTGAACTATTGAAATCCATAAAACTACGCAGAATAACAAAATTCAATTGCAATTTTCATACACAACTCGACTAACTTTTGTCTGTTGTCAGTCCTTAAAACTCAATCTTAAACACACTTCCCACAGCAATAAGCATATTAAGCGGATTCGTATCCTTGCAAGGATATTTATTGATATATTTTTGCCCCAAAACCCATAAAGCATGTTTTATGCAGACACAACATAGACCATTATAAAAAGAAGAGACTCATTCGAGAAGCTAGAAAAAAACCATCGATTTGTCAAAGGCATAGCCGGCGACAATGCGACATGGCTCTCCAACTTCGCCCCTAACAGCAACCCCAACAAATACTTATAATCCCACACACTCACACACACTCGCACACACACACACAATGGGCCACAAAGCTGAGCCACTAACATCTTGCGCTTTGATGGCATCGCATGCATAAACAAAATGCAACACACAATACGCGACTGGCAGCCGCCTCCCTTGTGAGGTAAGGCTTGAGTTGGGTGTTAGTCTTCAAACTTGCATTATTGAAAACTGTAGAGTCGGTTATATCGCATATATATACCATATGCAAAACAGTTCCCCCTCTCATCTTTCTTTCTGTCTGTCAAACCGCGGTTGCGGCTGGAGGACCTGCCATCGCCTGCTACACTCAGAGAACCCAAATTGACCTGTATTTTTTATATTCGCCATAAAAAATATGATTTTTTGTTGTTTGTATTATTTAAAAAAAAAAAACATAAACTGTCGATTTAGGACGTCTTTCTTATTTTTAGACATACTTTTTCTGATTCTTGGAATTATTTCCAGTATTCTTTTTAGAGTGGTTTTTTAAAATTCAGTCCGATTGTTTTCGCTGAGTGTATGCTCGTCTATAGTCTATGCTTTCTGGTCTATGGCTTTTGCTTTTGCTTTGGCTTTTGGCTTTAGACGTCAACGCATGTCCTGCATGCATTTCAGCAGCTTTTTGTGCTCGTTGCTGCCGCTGCTGCTGCTGCTGCTGCTGCCTTTTTGCCCGCCCGGCTGCAGTTGGCTGTTTTGCACATGTGTCACACACATATTGAAAATTGTGCAGCAGCAGCCATCGTTGCATTGCATCGCTTTTCTTTTGGCTTATGGTTGGCTGACTGGCTGACTGGCTGCCAGGCTGCCAGGCTGCCAGGCTGCCTTCTGGCCAACAAAGTCTCGCAGCATACATAACTGCTCTGATAAGCCATTTCAAAGCGGGTTTTACATATGCCAACCCCTTTTCTGCTGCTGCTTCTGCTGCTGCTACTGCTTCTTCATCTGCTGCTTGTGTGTGGCACATGGGGCACGCTTAATATTTGATTGAACATTGTTGTGCCTGCTGCTGCTAATACTTTTATTGCATTCCCTACAATATCTACTCCTCATCTAGACCCCTCCTCCTCTCCCCTCTTCTCTTATCTTTTCTTCTTGCTCTTTGCTATTGTGGTGATCAGCTTAAAGTTAAAGTTGGGCGGCTTACGCGCAAAGTTTTCGTTTTTCGCCTGCACTTTCCACATATGCAGCACAAAATTTTCCTTTTGATGCTTTTAGTGTCGTCTTATTAAAAAGTTTTTAATCTTATCTACGCCTGCGTTCCCCCGAATCCCCCCCAGAGTTACAGTCTTTTGTTCTCATAAAATTTCTACCAACTCATCCTCTTCATCTGGCCATCATCGTCATCATCATCATCATCATCATCATCTAACAAAGCTGCGGAAATGAATGAAGCATTGCAATGGCAAAACTTTTAGCTCATAGTACACTTAACTTTCCATTTATTGCTTTTTTTTCTTTTTTTTTTTTGGCATATTTGTTGGTTGTCTAAGAATGTTTGTAACTGTGTATGTGCGTGTGTGTGTGTGGAGTGTCTACATTGTTGACAAAAGTTCGGGTTGCTATTAGGGGTCGTTTAGTCTGCGATTAGTTGAGCTTAGTCAGTCGACGTCAGAGTCGAACTTGTTACTTGCTCTGATCGCCTACTGTTTGCAACTTTGCCAAAGTTCTTCAAAATTGGGCAATGTCTCAATTGGGAAAAGTGCAACAAACTTGACACAAATTAAGATTTTCGCTTTTGTATTCAGCATTTTATTAGTTGGATTAGCAGGGAAACAAGAGCTCAACTTTACCGATTGAAATTCAAAACCGAAATTTAACATTTCTTAAACACCCCGTTTAGCATCTTTGGGCAAAAACTTGCCAATCATAAAGCAACCTATAAAAACTCAGCACAAACTCAAGATATATATTACTGAAATATGCATATTTGGCTTATGCGATAAGAAGGTACATTAAACACCAATAACAAATACCTAACGCAACCCAAGAAAACAAGATTGCAACTTGCTTCAAATATTTTCATGCATTTGCTCACCTTTGATGCTCCTCTTCCTCTCCTCGCAAATACTCAAGTCATAAAAATTTTAATGCAGATATTTCGGTATATATATTGAGGTGTTTGCACTACTCAAACATATGTATATATCTTATGTATTACACACGTTTCCTTATACACTCTTCATCTTATCAGCCATAAAGCATAATGTGCTCTTAATCTTCATTTGCACTGGGATAACAACAACAACAACACCAAGAAAATTACGACAGAACCAAGCTGCAAAATGCATGTAAATCCAGTAAGAGGGAGAGAGAGGGTCTGGTGGAATTTCAGCTGGAGAAAGAAGCCTTTTAATTTGTGCCATAAAGTCAGAAAAGGAATTGCTTAATTCCATGACAAACACTCGGCAGCAACAGCAGCAGCAACAGCAACAGCTAAGTGCATCTAAAGGATATGCGAGGCGGCATCCAGTCAGTGCACATCATCCAAAATCCCACGGCGATGACTTAAATCAACAAAAGATTTATGCCAGACACAGCTTCCGATTGAGGAGGGCTGGCACCAGGCATATATATGTATATAAGTATATATATAAATCCAGCAAGCTGGACTTAATGCCACACTGAATACAGACAGCAAGTGCAACAGCAACAGCAACACCACGAAAATAATGCTCAGCTAAATGTCAGTCAGTCAGAAAGGCAGATAGGCAGCAGAGTGGGGAGGGGTGGGTTGTGCTTGTGGGTGGGGTGTACTCCCTCTCCCTCCTCCCTCTTACGTTGGAGTCGCAAATGGTTTTTGCTTTTTTCTGCCAGTTTTGTTGTATATGCGAATTAACATGTCTGCTCCGAGACTGAAGCCTGTGCTCTATATCCCTGGCAATATCCAGGGCTATGTAGCACAGTCCTCTCTATACATATACACATATGTCAACCAGTGTATACACATACGTCTATATTTATATAACACTGACTGTGTTTGGACTGTGTGGCACAAATAATTTGCAGTTTTACAGTTTTTCACCGCTTTTATGCTGCATGTTTTCCACTTCACAGGATTTTATGTGCCACTATGCTCGACTCAAGTGTTGGAAAATACAATTGCCAGCACACATGGCACACTCACTAACACACACACGCACTCACACACATGCACTGTGAGAAAGAAAAAAAACATTTCCGCATTTGTTTTGTTGTGAGTTTGTTTTCTTGTTTTTTTGTGTTGTGCCGCCAAATGTTTTGCCTTTGCTAAAAAGACAATAAACTGTGTCAGTGCGGGCCAACAAAAGTGTGAACGTGCGTACGCTGAGATACCCTGTAAGCATATATAGTAGAAATGGGGCATATATAAATGCAGTGTATTATTACAACAACTAAGAATTTTATGAAGATTCGACAGATAGGAAAATACGATTTTCATACGTTTTTGCAAAAGTTTAAACATTCAGGATTAGGAAAATATATATTATAAATTGTGGCTGCTATCGATATCACTGAGAACAGCTTGATCAGATAGACAGTTATGGCTAGACTCGGCTCTAAATCCTAATCAAGAATATATATACCTTATAGGGTCGTAAATGCTTCCTTCTGCTTGGCACAATTTCATTTTCAACATTTTTACCAGGACATAAAAAGAGGAAATTTACTTAGAAACTTTTCCCGTCTTCAGCATTTCAGCATTACACAAAATATGTGCTTATTATGTGTACAAAATTTCGCTCAAAGTTTTGCAGCAACCTGACTTAAATATTCCAAATATTTTGTTTACTTTCAAAGTCAAAGTTTGGCAGACACAACACTTATTATCATAATCAGTCCATTATAGGGTATTACAGATGTGAGCTAAACATTCGTAATATTAAACATTCTTAAATGAATCTGTAACAGTATTTGTTTGGCCTGCTGCATTCTGTGTCTCGCTTTTAAGGAGCATGACAAATCCTTGAGTACTTTATGCATTTTGTATGCATTTTTGTTGCATTCTTTTTTTTATAATTGCTGTTGATTCTTCTGCTGTTGCTGTTGCTGCAGGTTGTTGCACGTCTAACAATGCAAGCTGACTAAACACTTAGCTTAAATATACACACACGCAGGACACACACACACACACACACACACACACACAGACTTAAGACTTATCCGTATTGCATATTTGTTGCTGTTTTAAAATATCACACAATTTTCCGGCCAGTTTGTAGCTAAAAAGTAACACATATTCGCCACAAAGCCAGTGTGGCGCCCCCGAAGTGTCCACAAAAGGCAAACACACATGCCCCGCTCCCCGTGCCCCCCTTTGCCACAGCCAATGAAAATCCCACACAGAAAAACATAAACAAAATCAACACTTGCAACCCGAAAGCTTCCTCCAGCTGCCAGCTTTAGCTGCCACTCTGCACCGGCAACAGTGTGGCAAATAACTGTTGTCACACACACACTTACCACATATACATAGACAAACAAATATATATATATATATATATATATATATATATAGACATAGATATATTATATGTATGCATATATCCTGCTTGTTGAGCTGTGCTCAACTGTGCGACAAGTTTTTGCAGACACTCACAACAAATTGCCATGGATTTTCCGTTTTTCATCGCCTTTGCCAAAAAAAAATAAAGAAAAGGAAAACTTTGCGACAAAGTAGCTTTAAAATACTACTATTAAAAAAAACTATGCTTGGCAGAGAAATACCCCTCCTGTGCTCCTGTGACAAACAGGCTGAATATATTTTTCTAACCAAATTTTATGTTCGATAAGGCTTCAACGACTTATGCTTAACAGCAGATAGATATATAAACAAATGTATATATAATATCAAGGATCAAAGTCATTCCTAGCTGTCAATGGCTTCATCGCATACCCCATTTCAACTCCCTTACAGGGTACGTAAATATGCTTGTGCGGTTTATGGTTCAGACTAAAGAATAAGCCTTATCATCAGCAGCACTGGCAATAATGATGACAACAAAATGTTTATATATATATATAAATATAAATATAGTAAGGTCTAGCATAGTATGTGAAAGCAAATTCGATATAGATAGTAGTAGCATACAAATATTTTTTGGTGTGTACTTACAACTGTGATGGGATAGAAGGGATTTATGATAGTGAAGAGTAGAATGTGATTTGGCCGTGTAGTCTCAGGACGCTTTCTCCTTAGGTCGTCATTTGACTTGTTCAGTAGTGCTTGCTGCTGATTCTGATTTTGTGTGGACTGTAAAGAGTTCAGATATATAGACACATATATATATAAGTATTATTTGTATTATATTCTTTTTTTATTGTGCTTGTGTGTAATAGTATAAATATAACATTAAGATCAAAACACAAGCGAATTTACATAAATCAACATTCCATTACTGCAAATTTAAACAATTGAGCCCACAATGAACGCAACTGCCTCAAATTTCCTTGTCAGATAGCTGCCCATGAGAAAAATCGCCGACGACTTGAATACCATGCAATAGAATTGTTCATTTTGTTGCATAGCCTTCTGCAAATATAAGCCAATTGTTCGGCACTGTTCCCAAGAGCAAATCATGTTGGAATAGTTTGTTTGTTTGTTAAAGAAAAGTGCTTAAGGATTTCTGTTTAGCATGCTCTCAACCCGAATCGGTTCCAGTTGCGCTCTCAATCGTTTAATTTCAGTTAATAGTATCGGTTCCGGTTTGATTGACTGATGTTAAGGCATCCGCTAATCTGAAATTTCTGTTATACGCTTCTTGTTCTCAATGTGGATCGTTTGATTTCAGTTAACGGTTTGATTTGCCGGCTTATAACGTAGTATTTACTTTGTACTTTTGTGCATAACTTGAATTAACGATTTTTAATTTATTTACAGAAAATTTAGTAGATATATATAGGCTAGTAGTGCTCGTAAGCAACTGACGCTTAATTTGTATTTTTTTTGCTTTTTATTTTCTACTTTTTGAAAGTGACTTGAAACTCTGAGTATTGGGTATTGATTCTGGGCTTTGAAGGAATCGGAATCAATCGGGTTTCCTTAAGTTGGTCGCCATCTATCTGTCTCTATCTAAATCTCATTTTCTCTAACTCTCTCCACCTTTATTTCCTTCATATCTCTCTCACTCTACATTCCCCTCCATCAATACATATCCTCTATCTATCTCTATCTAACTCTTTCTCCGTCTCTCTCTATGCATATACGTCTCAAGATTTGTTGCTCTAGCTCCCTATCTTTCCACCTCCTGCTCTCTCTCTCTCTCTCTCTCTCGCTCTCTCTCGCTCTCTCCATCTCTGTTCTTTTCTGTCTTGCTAAATACATGAAATCAATGCATTAATAGTCTTTTAGCCATTAGTTGTCAGACGGCATGTCAAATCACACTGCCTGTCAAATGCACGCACATGTTTTCAATGGCCCAAAATGCAAGTTGAGCACAGCTAAAGCGAATTGATTTTCAGGTTAATGACGTTATTTATCTGAGTAGCACAGACGCACAGACGCACAGACGCATAAATGCCAAATATTCAAGTCAAAACATAAAGTTTTTGCATAAGTTTTTCACGTTAATTGACGCTGTCAGCAAAATGTTTAAATAAATAAATACTAAACAAAAATGTATGGGGAAATATGTTGATGTTGACGCTGTTGTTCTTGTTATTCTTGTTGTTGTTGTTTGCCTAGCATAATGTATTCGGAAACTCTATAAATAATTGCGGAATTTAGGTAAAACATGTTCATGTCACGTTCAAATGTCAATCAACGTTCAGGAGAAATGAGCCAAGTTGGGCCGACGGGGACTAGTGGGGAATATGTATTGTCAATTTTGGCTCATTTGCAGGTAAGACAAATTTGTTGGACTGCGCTGCAAGTGCAACAACAAAAGTGACTGAGTCTAAAAGAGAGAGACAGAGTGCGATAGGGAGTGAAAGAGATGGGTGGTTGTGGGGTAGTTAAGTACATATGGACAGGTCGAGAGCAGCTTGTTATGGCCCCATAGACTTGACACCAAAATGTCAGAGTTGCGCCGATATTTGCGCTAATTAACTGGGGAATATGACATGAGAATGTTTGTATTTATCTCAAAATGTCTCACTTTCTCATACAAATAAAGAACTTTTAAATACCCTAAGAAACATGTGGTGAAATTGGAGGAAATGGTGATTATATCAGAGTATCGTATTTCAGTTCCGGTTTCGTATTCCTTATAAATTCAGATAATTTTTATCATATATTCGCTATCAAATAACCGACTCAGATATCTTTTTGTATCCTCATTTTAAAGATGTGAAAATCATTGTACATTAAATTGTACATTGATTATTGTAACATCGAACAGAAACAGAACCCAAACTTTCTGTTAAATATCACAGAGTATTTTTCTTTCTCGTTTTCTCGTTGCTGCCCAAGTCGTTAGTGTTTCTTTCGTTCTTTCGGCAAATATTGCATAACTTTTCAGTTACTTACTGCAATTCATTAACTAATTGGCATTTGTTGTGAGCAACTCGGTTTCCTTTGCGTTATTTCTCAGTTCTTCGCTGAGTTTCTGTTTTTTCCGCTGCTGGTTCTTTGACTTTTGTCGGCACTTTCACGTGTTATTTTTCGACTTTTATTTTTATTTTAATTTGCTGCATTTTTCTCCACATTCAACCAGCAATAAAAACAACAAGAGCAACAGCAACAAGAAAACCTGGAGTCAAGCTCACTTAACCTTGTTTTTTATTTTATTCCATTTTTATTCGCTGCTCTTAAATTGCTTCATCTCCGAAGCTCTGTTGTCTTTACCTGACTTTGTAATTAGGTTAATGGATCTATCATTCTCTCTTTCACTCTCACTCTCCCTCTCTCTCTCTCTCTCTCGCTGATGCTGCTGCTGCTGCATTTTTAGCACCCATTGCTGTAGCTTTAATGGGCGAAAAGGTTTGCAATCTCTTACAATTTAATATATGGTAATAACTCAGCGGCTAAACAACTCTAGAATTTATTTACATTCCAAGAGCTGCGGCTTAACTGTTACTATGGCAATGATTTTATTAGGCAAATGACTCTGCTTCTGAATCAATTAAGGATAATTGTGTAACAGTTCTGAAAATGTTCTGATTTCTTATATTAAGAAGATTTCATAAACTTTAATGATTAAGAATGTTCTAGCTGAGAGAGCTCAAGTTGGAGATACACTGAAATACGACAGCTTGCTCCTACAGTAGAGGAAAAGATTAGCTCAACTCGGCTGTTAATCTTGATCAAGAATATATATATATATATAATCCATGCATCAGATATGTTTGTTATATGCTTTTGCACAGATTTCTCAAGTCCCTTTTACCCATTATTGCTCCATAGATTCAGGGCAATAAATTGAGTTATCGATCTGTCTTCAATTGAAGTTATTGTCTACACTATTTCTACTAAAAAATACATACCTTCAAACATCTCTATTAACAGTGTCAAGTAGAAAGTGGAGATTAACATGTTGTTCACAGCATAAAGAACTATCATTAGCATTTTTCAATAATTCCACAGACAGAATTCCCGGTTGTTGTTGCAAGTGTCGACAAATGTTTATTTACCTTGTAACATAATCTGGCAGAGCTCACATCTCGTGAAGGGTTTCAATCAAAATCCAACACAAAAATCTCAACAGCTTTGACGCACAATTTGTATAAAAAAAAACAAGTAGCAAGAAAAATGAAAGAAGGAAAAAACCAAACGCAAGGCGGGGCAAGAAAAACATTTGTTTTCTGTCAAATTTGCCTTTAATAATAATAAAGATCATATATTTTCCGCCCACCCGCCAAGGGGGAAAAAAAAACGTCGACGACGACACTGGAAACTGTTGATTAAATTACAACCTTAAAAAAATGTGTGTGTATAACAAAGTGGAGACTGTAAGTGAAATGATTGATCGATGTATGCTTGACAGGGGTTTGTTTGTGACTTAAGAGCATGGCAACCAAAAAAATAAATAAAAAAACAAATAGAAAAAAAAAACGATTTCAATTTTATTTCATTTATTTTGTTCGCTCAGATTTTTTTTTTTTTGTTTTTTGCTAGGTTTTTTTTTTTCAAAACATTTGAAACATTTCTGGCACAACGGCGCGAACGATTTGAAAATAGCCGCCGTCGGCAAGGCTTTGGGGCGGGGGGAGTGGCGACGGTATCGATGGTGGCTGCATACCACGGCGCATTTCAACTCGAACCGCAACGAAATGAAGATGAATTACCCACAAAACTATTCGTCGCTAGGGATACGCGAGCAGATCGCGAGCTGAGTGGCATAGTGAAGAGCAGAGCGAACAGCAGCAGCAGCACCAGCAGCAGAGACGTGCATCTCTGTGTGTGGATGCACCGATGCAGCAACAAGAGGAGGCAGGCAAGCAGCAGCAGCAAATGACAAAATAAGTTTTTGCACACAGTTTGATCAAATGGTCAAAGCACACTATAAAACTGAGACGACATATCCCAGAACGGATACAGATACAGATACATATACAGATACAAATATCATCTACAGCTCACACAATATGCTTAAATGCGTCTTTGCCAAGAAATGTACGCAAAATAAAAAGAAATAAAAAAGAAAACGCATCGCAAAGTTGAACTGCATTACAAAATTGCAGATAAAGAATTGAGGTAATAAAAATAGCCAATGTATATAAATGGACAGGGAATCTGTCCGTCCGTCTTTCCGTCATTCTGTCCGTTATTCATTCTGTGAGTCGACGTACGCTTGATGTATTGACATTCATCAAACTGACTTGAGAACATGCAGATCTGTTATAGCCTCAATCGTATGAATCGAAGAGTGATAATTGCCAGTGTCAGAGATTGATATGGCTCTTGGGCAATCGATGAAAAACAGGAGGAAATCACTTACAGCGAATGCATAATAAATTAACAAAAAGTAAACACAAATTGCAAATTGAGTTATCGAGCGATATACGAAAAAACCTGCCTTCAAATGAAAATGGTTTTTTATTTTAAATAATCCAAATTTAGTTTTAGTTTTGACGATAAAATTTATATTTGAATTAGAAATCATATTCCCTTAAATACAGTATTAAACTGTCCAATTATAGATATAAATATAATTGCTGACTGAAATTTGAAATTAGAATGAAATTTCTGCATTCTCGTCGTTAAAATATATTCCATTATATGTTTAATCTCAGCAATGAGTGTTAATCTCGAGTCATACAATGGAAAATGAAACCGACTTTCAGCAAAACCATTAGAAATATATATGCAGTTCT